TTATATATAGAGAGAGAGATAGATAGATAGATAGAGAGAGAGAGAGAGAGAGATATGAGGAATTGATATTTTTATTCTATTCCATTATATGAATATATACATATATATAAGATATATATATATATATATATATATATATATATATATATATATATATATATATATATATATATATATATATATACACGTAGGTATCACCAACGATTCGCTAAAAAACGGGCATACATGATGAAAAAAATTCTCCAAACTTGATAAAAACAAAGTTTCATCGTCGAAATCTTTAGGCTGTTATGAAGAGGAAAGACCAAAGTACTTTTTTGATGATTAAATCATATTTTTGAATCCTTTTTAGAACGTTCCAAATTTTGGTTAAAGATCTCGTTTTTCGTGCGTCATAAATTTCTATGGGAAATTTTAGCGCCTCTCTCTTCTTTCCAAGTCAGTAGTGTTTTTACAACACTGTTTGGAAATTCTTGCAAAAATCAAATAGTTTATCGGATTTTGAATTATTCTAGAAAATCCTACTAAATTTTTTTGTAAATCTATTGTACTTGTTTAATTTAATGACATTTCAAGAAATTCTTTCTTGTACTCCTTAATAGCTATAAGCACAAGTCCTTGGAGAATTTAAGTCATTAATTATTTGTTGTCAAGCAGGACCCGCAGTTCCAGAAAATCTGCTCTGAAATGCTATAAAACTAAGCCATTAATTAGAAAAGCATTTAATTGCTATTATGAAAAATATATATTACGTATACTATAGTCTTAAGAAATATTTTCGGTTAATAATGAATTTTTACAAGAATAGTATTAATTTTTTTTAAAGTTTTAATCATAATAATTCATAAAGTTTAAATTTTTTTAAAGTTCCATATTAATTTGTAGCAGTTATGAGATATTGTTATTAAGTAAATACTGTACTTAAAAATCATATATATATATATATATATATATATATATATATATATATATATATATATATATATATATTTCTGTAAAACAAATTACTATATTTTTTTCAGTGTATAAGACTCACATTTTGGTGGCGGTCAAAATTTGATTGCATCTTACATACCAAAGTCATTATATATATATATATATATATATATATATATATATATATATATATATATATATATTTAAGTTATGAAGAGCTTCATGTAATCCGTATGGGTAATATCAAGAAGGATGAAATCCTGAGAGCTCAATGTAAATCCAGAACTAATATTTGAAAGAAAACAGACCACTTTAAGGTACCATTATGATAATTTATTTCACCAGAGTCCTTTTAAAGGTCGCCGGATCATCAGATAGCACTTCCAAAAATGAAAGGAAACGAAAAATGAAATTAAAATTGATGGGTACTGTAAGTTTTTGTAATTTAACAGAGAGTGTAAAAGGATTAACTTTATATATATATATATATATATATATATATATATATATATATATATATATATATATATATATATATATATATATATATCTGTAAAACAAATTACTATATTTTTTCAGTGTATAAGACTCACATTTTGGGGTCAAAATTTGCTTGCATCTTATATACCAAAGTCATTAATTATATATATATATATATATATATATATATATAATATTTGTTTAAATAGGGATTGCTTATTTCCCTTGAACGTGTTATTTATAACAATAGTGTTGATTTCAGATATGAAATGCACACCAACACAGAGTGCTTAATGCAGTCAGACGCTAATTGCCTAATCGATATTTCTATTTTCATGGGATACTCTGCAACACTGTCCTCAAAATAAGGGGGTTTTATATTCACAAAAAATAGGGTACTTAAACAAAACAACAGTACAAGTTGGTGGTGGTAGCGATGCATTTAAAACAAAGAATATTTACAAAAACTCTCACACACACGTGTGTGTGTGTGTGTGTAAAACGGTTAATGGTCAGAGTTGAATCAGACCAGGAAACAGCAGTATTAAAAAAGTGCTCAATTTGATAAAACTCAGCTGAGGATACTGTAAGGATGAAACCAAGATAGCGAACTCGAATGACCTTCTGATAAGAATAAAAAATTAAAAAAATAAAATTAAAAAAATGAAAAAACATAGCTACAACGGAAAAATTTTAAGTAATTCTAACAGCGCATTCATAAATTTCACCATCACAATGATCAGATTTAAAATAAGTTTGTCTTCACAATTTTCCCCTAAGGATCTCTGACGAGATTGTAAGTACCTGGGTTAAAATAAACTACGGCACCTTCCTTAATGAATTTCAACTCATCAAGAACCTAATTAGAGAACTAGTAAGGGCTATTATAGAAAGTAAATAGACATAATATGTCTATATTATTCAATGAAACATGCTGCATATATATATATATATATATATATATATATATATATATATATATATATATATATATATATATATATTTCTGATAACTATATGAGATTATGTAATCCCACAGTTCATAAAGTAATAAAATTGACAGCCTTTTCTGTAAAACAAATTACCATATTTTTTTTTCCGTGTATAAGACGTTGTGATGGTGATTTTTTTAAAAATTTCCACTTGATTTGTCGTATACAAATTCCCTTGCACAACATCTAAAAACACCTTCCTGTCCTCTTTCACAAAACAGGAATATACTTGTCTACAACACCAATATACTGCACCACGAAAATATTAAACAACGACTCCAAATTCTCGAGGATCTCGATATCAAAAGCAAGCAAACCAACACTTAGCAAAATTTGTTACGAGTGTAGTATTGTAGTGCATTGAAAAAATATTTAATACGTTTAGCATTTCTACCAGTTTCTGATATATCCCTTTATATTGGGATGCTTGTTTTGCAAAAGTATTTTATAGCTACAACGGATAAATTTACAATTTTAAAATAATTACGCGTCCAAAATTGTTGATGTTTGTCGTGTGTCTGCATCATAAATTTTTAAAATTTTGCATAACCTTAGCGTTTTTCTCTTCACATTTAAAAATTTATCTTTCAGATGAACACAATAATTTTTGTTTTGGAAAAATTCATCACCTTGATAATGATATTGTGATAATATCGAAAGTACTCGGAATAAATTAATATGTATCAAGATGGTAATTTTCTTTCTTCCTTTAATAAGGATACGATGAAGCTTGTGTCGCGAATATAAGAGGATCCTGTTGAAAATAAGTAGGCAAAACTTTTCTAAATCATCCAACTTCGTTTTTACTCATTTTGTAAAAATTTAAGATCATTTGAACGAGAATTAGACTAAAAAATGATGTAAATTTTTGCGGAACACCATATATATATATATATATATATATATATATATATATATATATATATTAAGATATGTTTCATTAAATAATTAAGAAAAGTTTAGTTTACTTATTTTTAATAAGGTCCTCTCGTAATTACGAGCAAATTTCTTAGTATCCTTATTAAAGAAAGAAAATTACTATGTTGATACATATTTAATTTATTCCAAGTATTTTCGACATTAGCACATTATTGTCATCAGGACTTTTTTTTTTCTAAGACAAAAATTGTTGTGTTCATCATTTTTCTATGAGAAAGTCTATATTAAAAACTGAAATTCAAATTAATTATGAATACTGAACAACTATTGAAAAATGTTTACAGTGGATAGTTTAAATATCTAGATTTTAACGAATAGTTTTAAATAGATTTTTTCTTTTTTAAAAAATATTTAGACATTGCAATAATTTTTACCCCCCTTACGTTTGCACGTGAGTCTACATGATAAAATTTCAAAATTGTACTCTACATAAATTTAGATATTTTCGCTTTACATATACAAATTGGATTTTCAGATGAGCACAACTATTTTGTCGTAGAAAAAAATGATGAACACAACAATTTTTGTTTTAGAAAAAACATGACCCTGATGATAACATTTTGCTAATGTCGAAAGTACTCGGAATAAATAAATATGTATCAACATAGTAATTTTCTTTCTGCCTTTAATAAGAAAATTGTCACTAATTACGTGAGAATCTTATTACAAGTAAATAGACAAAACCTGTCTATGTTATATAATGAGACATATTATATATATATATATATATATATATATATATATATATATATATATATATATATATATATATATATACCGGTGTAACCGCAAATTGTTCTAAATCGTGTAACAGCATAATTGTCCAAACCAAAAAATATTTAATAGCTAAAAATAAAACTAAACTAAATGAGTTTCTTTTTTCCAGGTTTTCAGATGAGACGTTTAGCCATTTTGACACCCTTTGTCGTAAGAATCACTGAAAAACGTTTTTTAGTTAGTCAGATAGAACGAGAACAGGTTAAAATCGTTTTGTGTCAGACCCACTGTCTTCCCAACTGAGCGATGGTGAGAGGAAAAAGATCATTCATGCCTTCAGTAATGGCTCCAATATTCATACTCTGGCTTCCATCTTCAAAGTTCATTCAAGAACCCTCAAGAGAACGGTGGATAATTTTTTAAAAAAAGAGAACGGTAGAGAGAAAAACTGGATCAGGAGGGCATAACATGAAGAGGGATCATCATTTCAACTTAGAGCTAAAGAGATCAATTAGAAAAGATCCAACTCAATCCATAAGACGTTTGGCACGTGAGAGAGGAGTTTCTGCTATGACACTCCAAAGAGCAGTGTAAAAAGACTTAAAAATGAAACTCCAGGACAGAAAGTTACTTAGAAGTTTAGAGAGGGCAAAGATCATCTTAAATAAGTTGGAAAATGATCCTGGAATAATATAAAGGCATTTGAACTTTATTTCAATCCTACATGTTCTTGCGATCATTAGCTATGTTTAATTAATGATGAACATGTCACTTTCGTTTATAATCTGTTTCATCGCGATTCTTCTCTTAAGCCTGGAGAATACTTATACATTCTTATTGCTCAAAGCATTAGACTCTAATAGTGTTATAAAAAAGCCTCGGAGAATTCCAGTAAGATATCAATAATCATTTCTAACGGTTCAGAGCTGAATCTAATAATTGGATAGGTTTGCTGCTACATGATTTGGACAATTTTGTTCGAAGTATTCCAGTAACATATTTTTAATCATTTCGAAGATACAATGGTTCAGAGCTTGATCTGCTACACCCTGTATATATATATATATATATATATATATATATATATATATAAAGAGAGAGAGAGAGAGAGATTGATAATATTAGTGGTAAATATACATATTGCATTTGATTGTATGTTTGTGTGTGCATATTTGTGTGCGTTTGTGTGAGCGTGTGCACGCGCGTGGATGTGTGTGCATGCTTCGCACTCTGTGTGTGTGCGCGCTCGCGCGTGTGTGCGTGTCTTTTGAAAGGTTAGCGTCCCTCTTGTTAATCTCAGCTGGCAAACGGACAGTAGAACTTCTATTATATCCTTCAATTGTTTTGCCTGACAAAAATCGTGCGTTTATCACATTCAGTGGCAAGATCACGACAGATCGGCCGGGATCACGCGAGAAAGCTATTTCCCTGACGCTTTGATGAAAGCAAGCGGTCAGCGCGCCCCAGCGCGGAAGTGAACTCGCGGGACGGGGAGGTGGGTGTTGTCAATTTTTTTTAACATCGTTGGCCTGAAAAGGCAAAAACTATTTACTTATAAACGTAGAATATACAGTATGCGATTTCTTTTAAACAACTCACTGATTTTGTGTGTGTGTCTGTTTGTGATTTTCCTTTTTTTAAAAATAAACTCTATGCAGTGTAACCCGGATATAAGAGACCCGGATATAAGAGAAACCCGGATATAAGTGAGATTTTCTCTGGTCCCAAATTAGAGCCTGTGTTAATGTATATATAATAGACCAAACCCGGATATAAGAGAAACCTGGATATAAGAGACTTCTTCTCCGGTCCCGACAACTCTCTTATATCCGGGTTACACTGTATTAAAATAATGATGTCGCTAAAATTTACAGCATATCTTTTTATGGACCAAATATGGTTCGAGCTTCAATTCATAATACGTAACCTTATTTAAAATATTCCTAATTACTTCTTTGGGTTTTCTAAATTTTATTAAGCGGATTTATGTTACTAAATTTCACCCAGTACATGGCTTGAGAGGCACACAAGGTTGAAAATCAAATTTGAAGTTGTAGTGATATAAAGAGTCGGGTGGTATCTTATTATTTACAATGGTAATGGTATTAAACGTTTCCTGGTGAGAAAACATTCGGCATTCATTAACCGACAAAAGCAGGAGCTCTTCGAGTTACATATTTCTTCATTCTTAGTCATCGGGATGGGATAAAAGTGTAGTATCTGTTTTTATTAAATCTCTAATGCTAATGGTAATATTAACTTTTTCCTTATCAGGAAACATTCGGTATTCATTGACCGAGCAACTAGTGCAAATCTAAATACGCTTTTCTTCACTTCTTGGCCTTCGAGCTGGGATCAAAATGTAATATCTGTTTTTTTAATCTCTATTGCCAATGGTAATATTAACCGTTTCCTCATGAGGAAAACTTCAGTATTCATTGACTCAGCAGACAGTGCTCGAGTGATACTTTTTTTTTCATACACATCCGGGCATTGGTTTGGGCTCAAAGTGTAGTACCTGCTATCGGGCGGCCAAAATACATTTTTTTTTATCTCTAAACTGTGTTTCGCTCTTCGAACAGAACACAATAAATAAATCAGGGATGTCTGGTTTTAGGGATTTCAACTCAGCAGCAGCAACTTCCTCATTGGACGGTTTCGTTTGTCAACAACAAAACATTCTGTTTGCATACAATTAATAGTTAGTCCTTTCTTCTCGCTTTTGATTGTTTTCTGTAGCGCTTCTGTAGTTTTCACTGTGGTTTATATTTACATATATATTGATTTTTTTAACGATAGACCACAAAAGAATATATATATATATATATATATATATATATATATATATATATATATATATATATATATATATATATATATATATATATATTAAGAAATGGACAAAGTCCGACAATTTATTTATTAAAGACATTTTATGTTTAACGTTTTTTTATAGATGCAAGTATTTAAGTAAATGCTCTGTTTATAATAAACAGTATTAAATAACATTTACCGGCCATATGTTTGAGGATAAGTTGAAAAGTAAAGGTCGAATTTACTGCTTATAAACTTCAATCTTCCATCATAAGCAGTAAATTCGACCTTGCCTACCGAACGCTCATTTGTGGCCGAGACGGTAAGGCACGTCAGCATAAATGGCGGTTCCGTATAGGATGCAGGTTTCGAATCCTGTCAAAGGACGAATATTTTCTATGAAAATTTCTCGGACATTCAGGCCGGTAAATGTTATTTAATACTGTTTATTATAAACAGAGCATTTACTTAAATACTTGTATCTATAAAAAAGAACGTTAAACATAAAAATGTCTTTAATATACATATATAGGTAAGAGAATAAAACGGGAAAATTACTGAGTTATTTCGAGAGAATTTCTTCGGACTAAACGCGATTTATTTTCTTTTATGCAATTTAATCAAAATAAAAATATATATATATATATATATATATATATATATATATATATATATATATATATATATATATATATATATATATATATATATATATATATATACGGGCAAGAAAACACACCTTAAGATGAGATACTTTTGTATATTTTGAAGTATAAATGAGCAGAGGAAAGCATAAATCTCCGAGTTGCGTAAAAAAACGTATGGTATTATGTAAATATATTATACATACATACACACACACACACACACACACACATATATATATATATATATAAAATCTGAAAAACAGAGATAGATATAAACAGATTAAGATAGAGAGATTAATACATACATACATATATGTGAACAAACTTATATAGATAATGAGCAGACAGTGATAGATAGATAGATAGATAGATAGATAGATAGATAGATAGATAGATAGACAGACGGACGGACGGACAGATAGATATGAACAGACCGAGGCATGCAGATAGATATATATGTAGAACCTTCGATTGATAGATAGAAAGATAGATATGAAAGTTGGTAGTGACGTAGATATATAGATAGAAAACGAACAGAAAGTGATAGATAGATAGATAGATAGATATGAACAGACCGATATATATATATATATATATATATATAGAGAGAGAGAGAGAGCGAGAGAGAGAGATAGATAGATAGATAGATAGATAGATAGATAGATAGATATATAGATAGATAGATATGAACTGACTAAAGTCGATAGTAACGTAGAGATATGGATAGATAGATAATGAACAGAAAGTGATAGATAGATAGATAGATAGATAGATAGATAGATAATGAACAGAAAGTGATAGATAGATAGATAGATAGATAGATAGATAGATAGATAGATATGAACAGAGAAATTTATTCTTTGTTCGAATACCTCTGTGTCTATATGCCAGTAATTGTCTCGACACAAACACGCACACATTCATTTTAAATGCATGTCAACTAATATACACTAAGCCTGCAAAAATAACAATAAATAAATTCACCAACACCTCCTACAACAATGCGTCCCCATCAAGCAGCTGTCCTTGCACGCCTTTAGCCCCTCCGGTTGACTTATAGCCAATGGAATCAATTCAATCGGCACCAAAGATTTCTCCGGCATAATCAGTTCCGAAACCCCGTACAGTGTCGACATATCTCTCATATATATATATATATTCATATATATATTCATATATATATACAAACATATATATATATATATATATATATATATATATATATATATATATAGTGCTTTAACATTGCAAAATTTTGACAGAAGTTCGTATATAAAAAACAGACGTAAGTACCGCTTATTTTTCAAGATTTACATATTTATTTCTTACTTTATTCAAGGAAAGAAAATGAAAGCCATTTTGTCCTTTCTGTTTATATTATATTTTGTTTGATAAAAAATATCCAAAATTAATCTTTTGTTTT